CGATCCCCTAAGGGTCTCCTACAAAAACAAAGCAAAACAAAACAATTAGGCAGGATGATCATTCAGTCCATAAGTAAATGTGAAGAATCTTTACAATTATAATATTTCTGGTCAGTAATGTCACCCCCTGAGAGCGCATGACAGTCATGCCTGTGGATGGCCCTAAGAAGGGGAGGGGAGGGGAGGGGAAGGGAAGGGGATTTAAAGCTTCAAATTGATTGGTACATAAATTCTAACTTTACCTTGTGAAAGCTGGCCATGAAATATCAAGCTCATGTCCCGCAACCGGAAGATCAAACTCAAGATCATTCAAGTCATACAGTTTGTTAACCAGAGCAGTTGACAGAGATGGGTGACAGAGAATTGCTTCAGGGCCAAAGTATGCACTGAAATGAAAGTGTTAACAGCAGAATAATCACTACCATACATTTTCATCCTTCATAGTAAGTAACATATTTCTCTAAACAATTACAAACACTTTTTTTTAACAAAGTTTTTTGGGTCTATACTGTGGGTTTGCCAATGCAGTTCTAACTTGCAAAGCAACATTCTTATTAGACGAAAAAGCACAAAACATTTGCAGGTTAATTAAGGGAAAAAGAACAGAGGGCCAGAGCTTTTCTCTCAAACTTACCTCCAGTGAGAAAATGCCTGATACAAGGTTGATATAAATTTGTAAAGAGGGTAAGTTTCTAAAGAAACTGTGGTGCTGCATCGGTGGGGGTAACAGGTCAATTTGGTTTTATCAACTAAGTTGAAATTGTACATTGACCACCGTAAAGAGTTAAAAAGCTGACATTTTGAGCATTAGCCCTTCGTCAGAGCGAAGCAACATTCTTATTAGATGGGAAAGCACAAAACATTTGCAGATTAAGGGAAAAAGAACAGAAGGCCAGCGCTTTTCTCTCAAACTTCACCATTTGCTCTGAAGAAGGGCTATTACCCTAAACGTCAGCTTTTTAACTCTTTACCATGGCCAATTTACAATTTCAACTTTGTTGATACTACCAAATTACGTGATAGAAATTTGGCCAACAAGAATCAACACACTGAAGGCTACCCAGAGTTCCTCTTTTTAGGCAAATTCTACTCCACATGAGTAAGAAAAAAATCAATGAGGAAATATTTATCCTAGCCTGCCACACAGAACTTTGGGAATGAGAGGCATGTAAGGAGTTCTGTGCAGTTAGCGAACATCAACTTTTTTTAACACATTTTTTTCTTCTCAAATAAAGGGACTGCTTGTAGTTTATTGACACACAAAACTGAAGATGGATTTACAGAATAAAAAAACAACGAAATTTTTAAATTCCCTTAACCTTAGTTGTTTTTGCTTCACCAGGCATCTTTGAATGGCATCAGCCAATGACTTTTTTGTCAGAGAGAATCTAATAAAAGCACGTCCTTTGCCTTGGGGTGTCTTGACCTTCAAACAAAACAGCATCAAATATTTATTAATTGAAATAAGTTAAATAAAACCTAGCAAAAACTTGTTCACAGTGACATCATATATGCTTCTTTCCTCCAGTAGATCATAAGTGAGAACCAACCAAAATTAGTGTATACTTTAGCTAATTTATATACAATGTGATGTAAACTAAAAAATTAAATTCTAAATTCATATTGATAAAATACTAAACTTTCCTTTACTTGCTACAATTAACCTTTCCTCATTGACTAACAAATAAAAGGAATAGATCTTAACCTATCAGAATGGTTTTTTTTTTAATTAAATTTTAAAACCCTTGCACCCAAGAGACAATCATCCAATTTTTTCTTAAATTTTCACCCCTGAACTCAAACATTCAGGTCCTGAGAATAAAAGGAAATATTCATCACTAAAAGATGCTGTAACCACTGAAAGGAAAAGCACCCTTAGTCTTTAGTAGTTATAACTTACTAGATAAATTGTCTTTCTGGTGGTTATTTGTCATTTAAACTTTGTTTTTGAGACACAGCAAAATGTGCTGTTAATTGTAAATAATTAATATATGTAAATGTGTCTGACTAGAAAAGCCAGTTATTTAATAGTGTAGCAACAATAACTGTAAACGGTTTACAACAAGAGCACCTGTACTTAGGTTGTCTTTAATTTATATGTCTACAGTACCTGTGGAATATTTTGAGCGAATCGTACCCCATCATCTTTAGGAATGCAGTCACAAATAAAATTCCAGTAATCCTTTCTAACTCCAAGCATAGAGTACTTTTCTGGGATGTCAGGGCAAAAAAACAACAATCAATGATACTAATTTCATTTATAGCACAATGTTCTGAATTGAATTTCATTACTCCAACAATCTCGAAGAATCCATAGTATGGAAAGTTAACCATTTTACCACTAAGATCTCATTAGAGATTCTCCTAGCTGTTAGGCACCCAATTCTTTTGAAGTTTTTTCCGACAATTAATTAGTGGATAAACTAATGATCCCATAATTGTAGCCTACATGTAGCCATACCCTCCCCGCAAGGAGAAACACAATTTGTGTCCAATTTGCATAGTTCACTCCCTTCCTTTTAACCTCAGGTGGAGGGTACGGCTACATGTAAGTTACCATAATTGATACTTTCCTTTATTCCCATTACTTGTCTGCTCGGATGAAGGGCTAACGCTCAAAACATCAGCTTTTATAATCATAACGGTGGCCAATTTACCATTTCAACTTTGTTGATATATTCAAATTATTTCGTTACCCCCAACGACACAGCCCCAAATAGTTTCTTTAGAAACTATCAGCCTTTGCTGGTTTAAGGGTTAGACTATAGAAGGGCATCTAATACAAGAGGAGGAGAGCACGTTTTTGGATGTCAGAACCAAGGATGTCAGGATCAAGCCAAATTTTAAAAAGATTTTAAAAACTAAACAAAGAAGACAACAAAAATATAGATCAGCTTCTAGTGTTTTTAGGTACATACCCTTTTGTTCATGTCTTAGAACTGTTTCAAGCTTGACACAAAACTTATGAAGAGTTGTATCATCATCCGTCACAGGTAGTTGAGATGACTGGTAGATATTCTTTAATTCTGATATGTAACCTGAAAAAATCAGAAACATTCCATAATACTAAGGCCCTGTTTACAAGCAAGGAGGGTAACCCTTGTGCTAGGGTTACCGTTGCAGGTGGGTCAAGACAGCCTGGGTTTACAAGCAAAATTTCACAGGTAGGGTTACCCTACCACCCGGGACAACTTATCTATGCTTGGTAACTGCACGCATTGTTATCAATGTTCAAAGGGTCTGGAAACAAGTAAAAAGTTGTCCCCGGTATGTGAGTTATCCCTAGCAGAGCCTTTACAAGGCAGCTAGGGTTACCCTGGCACTAGGGTAACCCTAGCYCTCAGCTAGGGTTACCCTAGTGCTAAGGTAACCCTAGCTGCCTTGTAAACACGTCGATGAAAAAAAGAAGAAATCTGGGAGCGTTAGGGTAACCCTCCTGCCAGGGTAACCCTAGCACTAGGGTTACCCTACCTACTTGTAAACAGGGCCTAACTAAAAATGAGAGTGCATATTCGTAACACCTATGCAAGAGGATAGAAATTAGCCAGGGAAGCATGTGCACATTCTCTGATTCCATCATAAAGCTCTAATGCCTCATCACTTATAATTT